CGAGTGGTCACAGCCACAGGACCAATGATAAGGGGATCCGGCGAATATATATATATTAGATTTCCTGGCATACTTCTTTAATTGCGCTTTTTTCAATTTTCCTTATTTGCCGAGGTCATATTCTTGGTTGGGTTGTGGGCCGGCCCACAAATGTGTTCCTACCAGCCACTAAGGCCTGTCATTGTAGTATTGGTATAGGGACATGTGGAAGACCAGAGGGAATGGGCCAACTCTTGACACCATCAAAACCTGTTGAAATTGGTATAATAGACCAGCCTGGGATTCGATGTACCCAGGTCCTGGAGGAATTACCCCAAGGTATTTGATGCTGCAGCCTGTTCCATACTTTTAACCTGGGCAGTGTACATCAAGACTAGGATTCCTCTTATTTTTGCAATGAAATTCAAATATTTTATGTTAAATTAATAAGGCAGATGTAAACTTGTGGTAGTCATGTGACGTACTGCACTGGCAAGTTGCAAGTGTCGCATTGCAACAGAAGAAAAAGCTTTCTTGCAAAAGTATAACCTAGCTCTATCTCTCTCTTGGAATACCATTCAAAAGATAAAAACATTGATCGAATTTTGCATAATGTCAAACATCTGACATCTTAGCCTGACAGATTATTCAATACATTAGTTCCCGTAATGGTAAAACTCCAGTGAATCAAAAATCCTTGGCTATCTGTTGCTTTATTACAAAAAATAGTGCAGTTGCTGCGGGCAAACTGGTCTTCAACGGCTGGCCATGATCATAAAACGGATATTACAAGCAATGAATCTAGGTAATGTTCATTGATCTGTGATAGAGTGTCCTAATTCTGCCTGGATTTGGGGAAATGTTATGAAGGGCTTTGTGAGTAAAAGGTAATTCTCTATGTGAAGAAGCACTTTATCAGCCACTTCTCCAGATGGAATCATTTCACTCTGAGAAGAAAATGTTAAAAGGACGCCGCGTTGTATGATGAGCTTGGCATCACGTATCACTGCAGTGTTGGAAACTATGCTTTTTGGTCTCAGCAGCTTTACAAAGAATGAAGACTTTACCAGAATTTGACTTCCCTGATCCAATCTATTATGCCTTTTTCTTTTTAGATACATATGGGAATGTGATCACACCCACATAGGTTCATGTTCTAAAACCTTGTATCTAAATATGATGTTAATATGTTGTACTCAAACATTTTCTCATAAAACATGCAGACTATGCTTCCTGCTAAGTGGCACAGCATTTGTGCTTTAATGGTCCACTTGTCTCAATGCATGGACATCGATTGGCATCCACTGCAAGCATTTATCATTGAGCAAAACCTATTCAGATCCGGTTACATACAGTAACAGACCACATAAAGTGGTACCTTGGTTCATGAACTTAATTCGTTCCACGATTCTGGTCTTAAACCGAATTGGTTGCAAACCGAATCAAATTTCCCCATAAGGTTCAATGTAAATAAGGTTAATCCGTTCTGATCCCTAGGAACGTGTTCGCGATCCGATTTTGGTTGCGAACAGAATAAAATCTTCCCATAGGGGTCAATGTAAATTAGGTTAATCCGTTCTGAACCAGATGTAAATTAATTACCGCTCTGCACATTTTTACCACCATGCTTGCTCTGCACTTTCTTTGGAGCCATGCTTCATTGAATAATACTGTACAGTACTGTATGTGCTAAAAAGCACACAAAAAAGCTTCATAGCAAGTGTGCACAGGTCTGTCTGCGACCCCAATCTCCACTAGAGGAAGCCACGACCACGTGTCAGAGCGGGGAAGATGGCCGCGGTCGTGTTCGTCACCCTATTTGGAGTTCGTGAACAGAAGCAACATTTTGTTGAACTTCCTGTTCGAGAACCAAATTGTTCGCGAACAGAAGTGTTCGTACACTGAGGTATTACTGTATATTAGATGAGTCATCTGATTTTGGAGGATCTTATGTGTACAGGGGCTGGCAGATGTCCACCAATGTCAGCTCTTACAGGAGGAGCATGGATCATCCAGGTTAGAAAACCTATTGCACACATAACTGTTCTTTCCTGAGATGAGAAGTACCAGCAATGTTTCTCTGTGTGCTCTGTTGCTTAACCCTCTCCTCTGCATTGATAAAAACTAGATAACTCAGCAGAGGCACCTTACAAGTTTATGTTGTATGCTGACCTAAATGTGGTTGACTTATTTGGTATTGATTTTATTTTTTTTCGCAGTCATTTAGCAAGGATGCTTACTGCACTGTCTGACAGCCACTAGAAAGAGAACATGTACTGTGTGTTTACACAATATGATCATGCAAATATAGCACAAAAAGCAAGTACAAGTAAAAATCTAGCCAATGTAAGTATTTATAGAAAAGACATAATACTTTTCCCTTTAACCTCAAGCAACAGAGCCTGTCTTACCATTAAAGATGATGAGCTTGTGGGTACGATTTCAGATTAATGAGGTGACAGCACTGGTGCTCCTGCTAAGTGTGTTCGCATGGATGCATCGGTCCTGGAGAGGAAAACAAAATATAATGTTTCACTTATATTGAACTTCAGCATGTAATAATAGTAAAGTAACATATGCTAAGCTTCAGGCATATGGTGGGAAAATATTACAGCATTTAACTTTGATGCCTTTTAGATTGTTTTATACAGTACAAGTTTTCAAGGTTAAAACTTAACAGGAAACTTATTTTTAAGGTGTAAAACAGCTCACAGCCACGTATACATTGTTCAGATGGATCAGACCTTTCAGTGATCTTTTATTTACGCAATATACCCATTCACTGTTCAGATGCATGTCATCCGCCATAACTATTACTGTCCATGAGGCTTTACCTTATATCATGGTCATCGCTCATCTCCACTTTATCAACATAGGGCATTAATGAATGGATAACATTTTCCAGCTCAGTGGATCTCTTGCATGCTCCAGGGGCATACCCCTGCCATGCTTCAGGAGTAGTCAGTTACTATCATCTGCATGACATACAACAAGACATATTGTGACATGGTTGGCTGGAAAGGGGATTAAAGTAGACCTGAACTCAAAAAGCGAAGATTTGCTGTAAAAGTGCGCATTTGGGAAAGGTAAATGTGCCTAAGCAGTACGCTGGAAAAAAAATGACCTTTTGTTGTGAATACCTCCTGAAAAATAACAGTGCACTTTCTGTTATAAGAGGGTGACTGGTCTCCCCTGTGCTGAGAGCCTCATAGCTGTATACATGCAGTGTGAAATCTAAGGCACTGCTGCCTCTGACTGCTAGTCTCTGCTAGATTTAGAGTGAGATGTGTTGCTGCCACTACTGTGCTGCCGACTGTTCTCCACGCTGGGGGCCCACACACGAGAAGGCAAATAACCTGCATCTACCAAGATAGCCGCCCCCACACAGAGACACAGGGCAGAACAAGGCACAATAAGTCAGTAATAAGGAAACATCAGTTGCAAGGAGACTAAAAATAAAACTGGTGACTAGTCATTAGCCCTTTGTCTGCCTTTTATTTTTGGACACCATTTCCTGAAATTGGTTCCTCATTAAATCATCTGTCCCCGTCTTCAGTTACAATTTTTCTTATTCAAGCCACTGACACTTAAAGTTCATCAATTTACAGATGTTTGAAATCTTTAGAGACCAATTTGGAAGCCCCAATCGTCACTGCATTTGTTCAACATCCTACCTCAGGGCTTGTTCACAGCAATCGCTCACTAAACTTCCCCCTCCGTTCTAGGGCGGGAGGTGGCGTGGTGATGCATTGAAGTCCATGCTGCATGCTTTATCTTTTGCATTCGCAGTGGACCAGAACGCAGGCAATATTTTGCCACGCGTCTGATCGCACTGCGGGCGGGGGGCGTGGCTGCGGTGCCATTGACTTTAATGTATCGCCATGCTCCCTCTCACCCCAGAACAAAGGGTGAAGTTTAGTGAGCGATTGCTGTGCGTTCCAGCAGCTACCGCTCTGCAATTGGTGTTAACTGGCCCTAGGTTAGCAGCGCTGTTGTTTTGTAAATATATTTATGAAATTGACATCTTTCCATCAACTGCAGATGCAGGAACAGGAAATGGGGGGCAAAATTTCCCCAATGGGGTCACAGTCAGAAACAAACACCTGCTAGAAGTTTTAACTGGAGTTTGACTTCAACTATGGGACCACAAAAAGCGTCGCTCACCTTGAGAAAAACAATGCTTGAGGTAATATAGCGCGCTTCTTTTCTGTACTAAATAACAATACACACTGACAGGAAAATTGCTAGTCTGTGCAGCTATAGTGATCATTTATATGAAGAACACAATAAAAGTAAGAGCTGAAAACCCACTAAACGCTCCACTAGAGGAACGGGATATAAAAACAAAAGCCTCAAGACTCTAAATTTTAAGTTCTCCTCACCTGAAACCATTTGCTTTACAGTACATGCTAGAGGGGCCAAGCTGAGATTCCTTGTTGGATCACAATTTATTTTCTCCCTGGAGCACAAAGAAGGATATCTATGTGCTGCCAGCATTACATCCAAGTAATTGATGTCTTTTTTCATTAGGCACCCATAGTTAGCCCATGATTAAGTTCCAGGCCACATTTTACACGGTTAAGCAGTTGACAAGGTGATCTTTTTATGAGGTGCCCAAGCCACCCAATCATACAAAACATAGTTTTTCACTTAGTTCAATGAATCTGTGTCATACACACAATGGTCACGTTTCAGGATTTATTTCCTGTGGGGAGAAATTAACTTCCAAACTCGGCTCATCTGAGGGTTATTTACTGCGCAGTCGTGAACTGCGGCCACTGATCGGAGCGAAGTGATTTTGTAGTCTGAAAATTGATTTTCTAGAACCCTATAAAAGGTAAAATTAAATTAACAATATTATTTTGTTGACCATCACATTGTCCCATATTAGACAGATCTGACACCAAGTGCTGCTCTTTATAATAGCTTGGCCGTTTACTTCCAGATAATCTGTCAGCTAAAGATTGAAATTAATGGGGCCCTTTTCTTCTCTCCTTACATAAATGAAGCGGAAAGGTGATCTACTCCCAAGACCACTGCAAGTGCACTTTTGTGATGGGATCAATACCCCCTTTGCTGACCTGGCAAGAGAAAGTAACGCTCTTCCACATCTATGGTAGGGTGATATAACTCAGCCAGCTATACATCATCTTTAAAGCGAATCAGTCAATAGGCCATCGTGTGTGAACAGCGTAGTGATGAAATTACATTTTATTACATTAAACTACAACACAGGTATGCCAGTAACATTTATTAAATTGTGGGCGACTTAAGGGGAATGCTTAATAATTTTACGATAATCACCAGCAAGACCATTAGACGTATATTTAAAACAATCCCTAGCAGCTCCTACCTTACCATTCTGAGTGTTATAGGTTAAACTTACCTAAACGACAGCTCCACTGAAATATTTGCAGTGTGGCCTGTGCAGCAGCACCCACTCTTACTAAGAATTTTTACCAACAGCGTACGGTGCCCTTTATGTAAACCAAACTCAACAGAAGTCTATCAATGTACTGTAGAAGGCCTTCCACTGGAGATTGTGCCACGCACACAGACGGTGCACAGTGTGCTGACGTTTTTTAAAGCAACGCTTTGCGACATCAGGCAGGCTGAAAGATATCTAAGGAGAAATGGATAGGCAAGTATAAGCTATTACAAAATATCTCCGCTTAGGGAAAGTAAGACAGTTATCTAGAGTCGGCCTTTCCACAGCCTCCTGGGAAAGTCTTGCAAGAATGTGGTCCTGTATGATATCAACAGCACCTAGGCCCCTGGGCTTAACTTGCAGGCCCACAGGCGGCCCTTTGGCACTTTGCGGCCCCCCTGCAGACACTGCCTGTGTTCCTAGGTACTTGAGCAGGCCAGTGAAGGAAAAACTATTCTTTAGACTGAGTTCTAGTAGTTAAAAGGATTGTTTTATTTCTTTTACACTCTTACTTTTCATGCTGTCCATCCATTGTCTCTCTTTTTCATCTAAACTTTAATAATGGATCTAGCTGAGAGAAATATTTAGGGAATATCAAATGTTATCAAGTAACATTTAAGGGAGCATTTGGGAGCAATGATTTGCAAATTGCCTACAATAACATTGATCGCCAACAGTCTCCCTGTCCCTCACATGCTCGTCGAGATCAATGGCCTCAGTGGTTTTTTTGTTTTTTGATTGGACAGCTTGGACCAATGGCGCTTTGCCATTGGTCCAAACCATCCACAGAGCTCACGCCTCTAACACAGAGTAGAGGTTGTGATAGGTTTTGCCTCACTATGTTAGGTTACACAAGCAATGGGGAAGCCCGCTGCTGTGTAACCGAAATTAGCTGTCAAAAGCCGGATGCAGCACTGCCTGTAATTAGCAGGCAGCGCTCCATCCATGACAGGTTACACTGCGAGGAGACTTTCCCTGCTGTGCAACTTGATAGAAGCCAATCTGAATGGAGAAAAAGCGGTCAGCTTCAGACTTGAAGCTGACCGCTTTTTCCTTCATAATACTAGGTGAGGCTCTGCCTCACCTGACCGCATGTCCCTGTATTTTAAGACCGCTATATCAAGAAAGGTGAGTATCATGGACCTATGTGAATGGGCCTGGAAAAGCCTAAAATAAGTAACTTTTATTATTTAAAAAAAATAAACATTTTGCATGGTGATATAGCTAGTTGTGAGTGCAAGGTCTGCTTTACCTACATCATAAATACTTTGCAGCTATGTTGACTTTTGAAGGGTTGTGCAAGTCAACTCATTTTGTTCCTGTTAACTTGTTGACAAAACTTCTAATAAATGATGACACGGAAACAAATAGCAACTGTCACACAAGGGGCTTTGTTGTGTTTTTCTTCCCACAGAACCAATCTAGGCTGTGCTTTCAACCTTTCAAGCTATTCCATTATGTATATTTATGAGTGACAGCAACAATCATTTATAATACTGCTTTGTTGATTACTTGAGACAAAAACGTTGTCCATTTATTTCCTGAAGTTTGACAGACACTGATTGACAGTATAGTAACTCACAGAGATACCACAGAGTGATCATAAAAACAGAGATCGCTCATTAACAGAGAAGGAAGATTAACCCATCGGTATTGTTAACCAGCACCATGTCTCAGATATTGTGGTGAAAGGACAGCAATCCTACTATATTCCTCGAGATTTCCAAGCAATTCTGCGTCAGTGAATTGTTATCATCTGCTGACATAAACCTGTTATTACATATTAACCTCTGAGGGATGCAGTTATGGATTGGTCACTAAAATCATGCCGAGACTGGCCACCTTACACTGGTCGTAAATGATGGACTACAAAACAGTTTCTATTTCCCCCAACAACACACACAATGCTTATTCTATCATGAAGAATAAAAGGTCAGTAGAAAAAAATCTAATATGGGCCAGAGTCGAAGGAGCTTATAGTGACACTAAACTCAGGTGTTAAATCCTAAAACTGTTATTGTGGCCGTTTACTAAATAGCAAAGTCCTCTTGAAACCACAGGTAAAAAAAAGGTATTG